ACGTACGACGAGAGAGAGAGAGAGAGAGAGAGAGAGAGAGAGAGAGAGTTTTGCTGACAAGAGAATCACAAAATGCATGAATTGGAAAATTAGCTGGAAAAGTTGTTTTCCAATGAGAATCCGGAGACTCCAGCTTGAAGCCACATTGGCTGGTTTCCAGGAAGTCCTTGGCCATTTTCTGGCCAAATTTGGTTTTGGCTAACTTTTGAATTTGGAATGATTTTGGTATACTACTATATCTGGAAAGAAAAATGATATTTCTTTACATTCTACATGTAAAAAGATAGGGAGGAGGCATTGGTCCAATCTTTTAAAGTGGGAGGGGATTAGGGGGTTTACGTAAACCAAAGGTATGTGGACCACAAATTGCAAGAAGGGGCACAGCACGTCTTTCCCTCAAGTCCTTCGTTTAGTTGTGCATTTTTGGGGATTCAAACTTGAGATTTACTGAATTGTCAACACTCTTAACCATCGAGCCGGGTCCTCATTCCTATCACTTGGTTGTGCAAGGAAAAAGTATTCCAATGTGCAAGGAAAAAGAATGACTACACCCAATCAACAAGTATCCCCCCAGAAAATCCCAACATGTCAGCATTCAAGAAGCTATGTTTCCTCGTTCAATGATAGTTTTCTCAATTATCTGGAATGCCCATACGTTTTTTTGGAAGTGTTAACTGTCTGGAATACCCATATATTATCAAACAAATTTAGTAACTTTTACTGGATAGTTCAACCATGGCTCTAAGAACTTGTTAGAGAAAAATATCCAAATTACTGTATCCTAGGAATTCTAACCGTCCTTGGTATTGCCTTGATGTGATTTTCTGCAGTTTCCCGAGTGATTTTCTAATATAATTATATTCTGTTGTACATTCAAATCACCTGGATGCTTATGCATCTATCAGGGCTCTCCTTTTACTAATCTTGTTTTTTCAGGCATTTCCAAAAAAACCTAGGACTTCAAATGGTCTCCTAGAAACTTATAAATTTGCCTGCCCTTGCATTCTATAGCAATAATGGAAAGACAAAAAGGAAAAACCCATCATTCACTAGAAATTACTACATCAACAGGGTTTTTGAACTGATGCCTTCTTATATTTTAACTATTGAAAATTACACTTACTATTCATCGTCAATCACCATTTATGCTTGGTTGCAAGAAAGAAGTAAAATCATAACAGCTTATCATTTCCCAAAAATCATAATGATAATAGAAAATGAAAACATTTTGTACCACTCAAAATGCATCCAATTCATTCTGCAGTTGTAGTAGTGGAACGGAATCCAATGTATTCTTTCATGAAAGGACCAAAAACCGTTAAGGTGGATTTCCATCCACATATAAGACTAAAATCAAGTATGTACCTCATCAAAGAACTTCAAATAAATGCAATGGTCATTCTTACATCTAGGTAACCAAGCTCAACATAAAGATATCAAATGTTTTATACCACTCTTGAGGCTGGCTTAAACCCATATAAGGAATTCTTCAGTTTGCACACAAGCCCTTCTTCGCCTTTTCCAAAAATGCCTTCCAATTTGCATCTAGACTTCTTCAAATTTGCTATGCAAAAATTTTGCCTTCGCATCCATTTGCTTGAGTTCTAAATTATGCATAACAACCAACCCAAGAACTATTTGAATTGAGAATAATTTGACCACTGCTAGAAACATTTCATCAAAGTCAATGTTTGTTTTTTGTGAATCTCTTTGTCATTAATCTTGCCTTATACATTTTAAGCTGGCCCCTTCTCTAGCTTAAACACCCATGTACAACCAACTCCATCCATTTGCTTAAGTTCTAAATTATGCATAACAATCAACCCAAGCACCAACTGAATTAAGATTAATTTTACCAATAGTGGAAAACTTTCAGCAAAGCCAATGATTTGCTGATGTGAACCTCTTTACCATTAATATTGCCCAATGCTTTTCAAGCATACAATCGGGCCCCTTCTTTAGCTTTAAACACCCATTCACAACCAATTGCCTTTTTACCTTTAAGTAGCTCTACCAAGTCCTAATTTTGTTTCTTTAAAGAGCCGATATCTCTTCTTCCATAACCCTCCTACAATGCCCCGAATTATTACTTTCAATGGCTTCACAAAATGATGTTGGTACTTCAGTGTTTCAATATTAAAGCATGTAAAGTATCTAGATTCATGTAATCTTTATGCCTCTTGGGTGCACGTTTTTCTCTAGTAGAATACCTAGGTAAAAAAAGCACAACCTCATCTTGATTTTTCATTTCATCTGTTCATCATGTTCTTCATCAAGATTAATGGGAATATCCTCAAAAGGCATCATTGCACTTATAGGAGGCATTTTGGGGTGGCTTTTAAACTCTTGGCTCTCATCTCGCACTTATTTATCATCGTCGTACCTCTTCATCCCTTTTGCCAATATGGCATAATCATCAAAGTGGACATCTTGGCTTGTGATTATTTTTGGGTTACTAGGATTCCAAAAATGGTATCCTTCACATCCTTGCTATAACCTGCAAACACGCACTTCTTTGACCTTCAATCCAACTTTTCTTTGGGCAACTTGGAATAAGCGCATAAGCATCACAATAAAATATTTTTAACTTAGAAATAATCACTAGGAGTTCCATACTATACCTCACTAGGAGTTTTACTCTCAAACATTACAAAAGATGACCGGTCAATGAGATAACAAGCCATTAATGTGGCTTTCACCCATAGATCTTATTCTAGATCGGTATTGCCCAACCTGCATGTTGCACGCTCCATTAAAGTACGATTCTTCCTATTAGTGACACATTTCTGTTGAAGATTATAGCCCTTTCTATAAAACCTATTAATTCCTTAGGCTTTACAAAAATTTTCAAACTCTTTTGATGCAAACCCCTCCATTACCAGTCAGAAGAATTTTGATGTGAGACCCCATAAATTCTTCTACTTTGGCTTTAAAATGCTAAAACGCACAAAATACATCACTTTTGGACTTTAGAGTATACTTTTCTTGCGAATTCATCTAAAATTGAGACAAGGTAAAAGTGCACCTCTATAAGATGCAATCGATGAAGGCCCCCATACATCCAAGTGAATATGGTCAAGCTTGCACTTGTATGTTTTCTGACCTTGAAAGTTTGTCTCTGTGCTCCCCCCCAAGTTTAAGGGTGATAAGGTGCTTCCTCATTAAGACCTCTATACCCTTAGCACTCATGGGTCCCAATTTTCTCTACCATTACCAAATGGAAGTTCCTCAATGTCCACCATAAAACTCACCATATCATCTATTGTGATTCCAATAACTTGGTACAAGTTCCTAATTCGGACTCCTTTCATTGCAACTAAAGCCCCTTTTGAAACTTTGATTACTCTATCTTGCCCGGTGAACTTGTAACCTTCCATATCTAGGGAGAGAAGGGAAATTAAGTTCTTTAGATTCAACACATGCCTAACATCTTCTATTGTCTGAATTGTTCCGTCGAACATTCTTAAACAATCTAGACCCATTCCAACTATTTTGCTAGTTGAATTGTTGATTATTGATATTGATCCTCCTGCACATGACTCGTATGAGTCAAACCATAATCTATGTGAGTAAATATGATAGTGGCCCTACAATCAAGGATCCAATTTTGATAGAATATAGGATTGCAAGCTACCACCAATACTTCATCTTAAATGAATTTGAATGTCAATAACTTGATTAGTTTCATTCCTAGATTCTCTTTGATTTTATCTTGTCACATTAGGATTTCTGGAAGAATCCATCATTTCCTTTTAAAAACAACTTTCTTAAATCAACGTCTAAACCTCTCCATGTATTAACTCTAACTATTCTCATTGTAAAACTGTAACGAGGGTACCTCAACCTCTCACACTTCTGCTCCCACTATAATAGGCTCCACAGCAAACCCTTTTTGAGAACTTTCTCAGCCGTACCTTTTATTTAGTTTTTTCTCTCTCATCCATGAGCATTTTTTGCTCATTATGTTTGACTTGATTGTATTTTGAGCACCCGATATGTGGGATGCCGTAGGTAGATTCATCTTCATGTAAATTCCTTTCTTTATCAATACAAAGTTAACATTCTCAAAAAAATAAAATAAAATTCATTCTTAAATAATTGGGCTATCCCCAAAACCCACATATATTCTTGCCATTAGGTTCCCTTGACTTTGATTCGAATTTAGACTTCCTTCTTGAACATTTTCTTGATGAACTAGTTCATTCATTTGATCAACCCCTTTCCACAAGAGCTTCCATCTTCAATCCAATTGAACTATCCAAAGATGCCTTCTTTCAAAGTTCTTTAACAAGGAGGACCTATAAACAAAGCTCAAATCGAGGGATTATACAATACTACAACTTAATGTAGTGACAAGGTTGCTATAGAATTCCGGCAATGTAGAAATTAAGGTGACCGCCTTATCCATCTACCATTTTCTCCCTAATACTTTCAATTTGGCTAATCAAATTATTGAACTCATTAAAGTGTTTTGACACTTTTTAAGAGAATTCGGTTTGCGAGTGATTTTGTTTGATAAATCCTTCGATGTTTTCTTCTCAATAGAGTTGACCACGACTTCATTCACCAAATACAAGTGAACAGTGGCTCGTGCCTTCATATCAAGTTGCACAAATAAATCTTGCATTTTTAGTTTCTAAATTTTAAAATCTTTTTTCGCATTAAATTTCTCCACCTTAAACTTATAATTTCCAATTTTCCTAAACTACCACACAACTTCCTCGAGCTCTAATTCCACTTGTTGGCAAACCGAGGACAACCTTACTGATATGCTCACAATGCCGGTTCAAGTAGAGAAGTTAGAGTGGAGCCTAACTTCTCTTAGTTTCAAGAAAGGGAAAGAGTGAAGGTTGGGCAAGGCAAGGGTGTGGTTTCGTATCAAGGTGGAGATTGTTAGGACAATGATCCAAAATCACCTTCCAATGGCATTTTCCTATTGTTTGGACGCATTTTTGTCACAACAAAATTAATTTAACTTGGAGCTTTTCAAAGTCATTTTCGAGAGAGAGAGAGAGAAATCATATCGAAGAGAGGTTGAGTTTTGGGATAAAGAGAGATAGGGAATTTGCTCATCCATTGGCAAAACCTAGCAATTGTGTGCCTTGGTACTGGACTGAATTCATTGGTGTTTCACAGGCCGATAGTGTCAGGGAGAGGAATCCATTGATGGTGTTGTTATGGTAGGAAACTTAATTAGAGATTTCTCTACCATAGTGAGGTCATGAGGCAATCTCTATAAGATCCACAAAACTTGTAACTTGCCCATTGCCTATAGATGGAGACTACTTTGGGTGAACCACATAAATGTGGTGTGTTACTTGGGTTTTGCATTTATAGGGTAGTTGTTGGATTCACATTTTATTTATTCATGGTTCTTTCTATATTTTTTTCCCAAATCTTTAGTAGACATTGTTGTTCTCGGGCATCTAGTGTTTCTTTTGTTTCTTCTTCTTCTTCTTCTTCTTTTTCCTTGAAATGGGCTTGCTGGTGATTGATTTTGAAGTGTTCGATTTGTTGATACGGGGAACTTACTGCATCAAGTAGGAATCGGGATTGTCCCAGTTTGCCAGCAAAACAACATTATACACAAACAGAAGAAATGTAGAATACCCCCCCAAAATAAAAACCTGGTTCAACAATTCAAACAACCCAGAAATGAAAGAAAACCACATACAAATCGAGCAAATCCATTAACAACAGAAGCACCATCAACAAATTTAATATCAGAATCTGCAGAATTTTACATGACAATAAACAATAAATATCAGCGAAAAGAGAAAAAGAGCGACAACTTCCATAAAAGAACTCGTTAACAGTACCTTAAAGAACCACCAGGAGAATTGATGAAAAGGCGAATATCCTTAGTTGGGTCTTGAGCATCTAAGAGAAGAAGCTGGCTTATGATCGCATCAGCTAAAAAATCATCAACCTGGTTGCCCAAGAACACCACCCTCTCTCTAAGCAACAACCCCATGACATCAGCCTCTGCACCTCTCATTGCGGTCGCAGGGGTCTGAGGAGAAGAAGAAAGAGGATTAGGGCACATATTTGAAGAAAATGGAGACGACCCAAAAACGAAATCGAGGTCATGGGACTTTTGGGGAAGAGAGGGAAAAGCAACATTTGCTTTAATGGGGAAGGAGGGTTTTCTAGAGAGAGAGAGGAGGGAAAGAAGACGGGGTTTTGAGAGGGTGGGAGATGGTAGCACAGAGGGCAGATGAAGAGCGTTCATGGTTTCTCACTCCTTGAGCGAACGAGAGAGAGGAAACCGGGAACAAAGACTGAAACCTAATTGGAGTGAGAGATAAGGAAAAGAGCACGTAGACTAAGCTCCAGCGGGTTCTTACTGTGCACATGCACCCTCGGGAGGTACTCGGGAAAATTTGGTTTCAAAATTTTGCTGAGCCTACCTAATGGACACGGTTTTTACGAGTCGATATTAGAAATGAGTCACCTCTCCTCTTGGACTTTGGGTTTTAAGGACATGTAATCTCTACCATAGAGGTCATGAATATAAAAAATAAATAAATTTTAAAAATAAAAAATAATTATTTATTTAAAAATATTAGACTGTTAGTTTCAATTGTTTTTAAATAGACCACCTATTTGCATCCATTTTTAGGATGGATGTTTTAAATCTTGGGACCACATATTATAGAAACTGTATCCATCTTTAGGATGGATGCTTTATATCTTGGGACCACATATTATAGAAATGCAATCCAACTTGCATGAAACAATTTTCCAATGCTTATTTCATAGGGACGGTATATTATGATACTATTTATTTATTTTTTTATAGGGAAGTCATAATCACTTCTAGCTATTAGATGACTTGAACTGTGACACAAAATTTGAAAAAAGAATTATGAGTTTTGAGTCTAATCAATGGCACGCTTACAATCAACCATATTCGAAATCTAATTGACAATAATAATTGTGATCTCTTTATACTAAAAGAAAAACTACTTAATGTAATGACAAAAGGGAAGTATATAATGAGACCATTTACCTTTGTTACAAGGTGGTCACAATAAATCTTGACCATTGGATGTGAAATTGGGTGGCTGTATTTATTTAATTAACTAAGCTCAAAGTTCAAAAGAATTTTTCTCAAACTTTGTGACACACTCCAACAATTAGATTTTACATCCGATGATTGTAAGTAATTGTGACCTCCCTATTCTAAAAGCCGCATTGTATACAATCCCATAACAAAAATAACATCCTAAATGTAAAGATACCGTCGTTAAATGCACATAGAAAAGTGCCCAAGCACCTTTTTAATTTATCAATGTAAAGGAGGTTTGATGAAGCGTTAATTGACATTTTGGTGCAAGGTATATTTTAGCGTCTCATTTTATTTCTTTCTACTAGGAAAAAGTAAAATTAATGAGAAGCGGAAGAGACAGAGAGAAAGGAGACCACTAAAATCGTTAAAATAGCCAGTTTTTTTTCCTAATGGAAATTTTTTTATTCAAGGTGTTACTCTTCTATAATAAAAGTGAGGTGAATATAAAGAATTCATCCAAAAAGATTATTGATACGCAAAAAACCTCTCCAATTGTTCATCCCGATTATAAGATATATGGATGCAAAAACAATTAGAGGATTTCAAGACTTAAAAACAGGCTTGAAATATAATAATATATTATATGGACTATCCATTTCTAATATTTTTAAATGTTTATACATCTACTTGATTTATATCATTTTTCAGGGATTTAAATTCCATATTTAGGGATGGAGACATATTTTTAGTCTATCATAAGAGTTTCTAGTAAAGGAACTACATCTTCTGGTATGATTGGGAGATGAAGTCTTGATTTTTTTAAGGTAGATGCCTTGTATAAACAAAACCCATATAAAATGGCCATAACATATTTTATATGCATATGGGGTGCGGATTGTATAGAGCCAAGGCTCTAAACGATCAAAGTAAAACGTACATTCAAATAGTGTCGAGAAATATGATTTCAATGCTAAAAATCTTTGTGATAGCCTTAAAATATATTTTTATTTTTAATTATAAAATTTAAATATTAAAAAATAGTATAAATCAAGCAGATCTAAAAAAATTTGAAAATCTTGAAAATTGATAGTAAAAAACTACGTTACAAGTTACATTATTTTCAAAACTTTAAATCTACTTTTTTCTCATATCCTTACATCTTGATGTCGAAATGATTAATTTAAGGATATTTGGGCATCAAAACAATCTCTTCTAGTAAAATTTTTGAGGCGGGCTATAGTTTGATTGTTTAGAGCCTCAGCTCTATTCGAACTTTTTCCTTTTCAGAATCCAAAATAAAAGGGTCATATATTTTTGTTAAATTTGGATATTGAAAATCTGAAAATTTTTGTGAGGAAAAAATTTAAAAAAGGAAAGCTCCGATTACCCTTCAAGATCCAAAAATCCACAATTTCGGATCTCGAAGATCCGATTTTTTATTTTTTTCGGATCTTGAAAATCCGAAATAAGGGCAATTTCCAAGAACGTTTTGGGGCTCCAAGAATGGGTATATATGTAACATATGAAAATTTAAATGTAACAAGTTGAAAATTTAGGTACTATTATAATATCGTTATAATATAAGAAATATGTACTTCTCAAAATTAAAGGATGTCCACCCATATAAATAAGAAACTCCTAAAAATATTACTCAAGATAATGATTCTCAAGATTATGGAAACTTGGCTTCACCATTAACACTGACAAATTTGCTTTCACGATAGAAAGAAACATAAGATTGATAAACTATCTTGTATGTACAAATGTATAAGTATTGCAAGATTTAAAGCATCAGAACAACCTCTTTTCTAGAGTGAGAGCTCACAATAGATCAAAATGATAAAAAAGTTTGTCACAAAACTTGTAATCCCAGAGAGAGAGAGAGAGAGAAAGATGCCCTTACAAGAGAGAGAGAGAGAGACAGATGCCCTTACACCTTCACTCACCGTGACCATTGATTTCACTATTTAGATGAAAGTCGTGACTCTTCAATTCTCAATTTACGCATAAAAAGCAATTCATTGTTGCGACTGACATGCAACTGGATACCCAATAGGTACTCAATTCATTAAAGCTTTTTTCCATAAAGAATCACAGTTCCAGTGATGGAGGAGAGTGGATGCATTAATACGAGTCCCAATGCTCTCACAAAGGGGGGAACACCAATCTATACTACAACATAGCTCATAAACAATCTCGAAGTGGGAGTTTATCTGCATAGGATAAGTGTACCTCAAGCATACAAAGTGCAAAGTCCGCCACAAAGGCCTTATGTTCTCGTAAGGGCAAATGTACAAATCAGTGATTCAAAAAGCGGACAGCCTAGTGCCTAGACGGCCAATCTGGGCAGTCGAACCCTGAGCGACCACCTAGGCGGAACGGATCCTATCTAGACGGGCGCTCAGGGCCTACGCCCTGCCAAGGGCGGAAAAACCATTGGGTGAGGCCATTTTTTGTCCCCTTTTTTTTTAAATTTTTTTTAAAGGCAACAAATTAGGGTTTTAAGTTCATTTTAAACCTAAAATTTGTTGGAGCCAAATTTAGAGAAAGAAAGCCCCTAAAAAACTAAATTGTGGTGAAGTTCATAGGATACTCAAAGTTAACAAAATTTGATCAAAATATCAGCCATTGGTATTATATTTACTTTTTGTTGTTTTGTCAAGTTATTAGGAGTTTTTTAGAAGATTTTGAGTATTTAGAAGCATATTTGAGGTGGAAGTTTGAAGATTGTGCAATCAAACTCAAAGTAAGTAATTTTTTTTAATTGCTTTAGTAATTTATATTATTAGTAATTTTTTTTAATTGCTTTAGTAATTTATATTATTTTTTAGATGTCTTCTTCGAGATTTAATAGGACTGGTGATCTCTGTTGAAAATAGGGCTATAACCCAGTTGCTAGTGATAAAAATTTCATAATATGCAAATTTTGTGAAAATGATAGAAAATGAGGCATAAACCTGTTCAAGAAACATCTTGCCGATATCAGGGAGGATATTGCCCCATGTAAAAAGATTAATGATGCTGTTAAAGAGGAAATAAAGAATTTTTTGAACATGGTGAAAATGAAGAAAGATGAGAGAATTGCCTCTATAGCAGAGATTAAGTCTGAAGTTCAAGTCAATTTTGATGATGATGATAGTGATGAGGAAATGATTGGGGAGGGATGTCAAGAGGTTGAGCAACCTATTATTAGAGAAAAGGGGAAGGGAGTTGTAATTGCTTCTGGTTCTGGGACTAAGAAGCCTCGGGTTAAAGGCCATATGGATAGTTTTTTACCTTGGCCTGACATTGAGGTTGCAGAAGAGAAAACAAAAAAGCAAACCACCATTGAAATAAAATCAAGAAGGAAGAGAGAGATAGATGTGCGTATTATCTTACTACAGAGTTTTATGATGCGGGCATTCCTTTCAATGCTAGTGAGTGCCATGAAAGAAGCTGTAGAACTTAAGAAGGATGCATAGGCTCAGTATGTGGTTTCTATTATGACTGATGGTTGGAGTGATAAGAAGAGAAGAAGTCAGATAAATTTGCTTGTGAATTGTCCTGCAGTGACTGCTTTTTTTAGATCTATTGATGCTTCTGATCATATCCATGATGCCCATTACATATTTTAAGTGATAAAGAAGGGAATCAAGGAGGTTGGGGAGCATCTTGTTGTACAGGTTGTCACAGACAATGCTGCTCCTAATGCTGATGCATCTAATTTGTTATGCGTAGCTTATCTTAGAATCTTTTAAACACCATGTGCAGCACATTGTATAGACCTCATGCTTGAGGCTCTTGGCGATTTAACCGAGATATCAAGTGCAGTGAAAAAGGCCAAGTTAGTTACAAGTTTTATTTATAGCCACCATCTCACCCTCAGCATGATGCGTACCTTTACATAGAAGAAAGAGATTGTGAGGCTTGGGGTAACGAAATTTACGACTGGTACAATGCCTAGAAAGCATATATTTGAGGAGAGTGTATTTGAAGCAAATGTTTATCTCGGATGAATGGAGAGCATGCAAATAGTCTAAGGATCAAGTTGGGAAGAAGATGAGAGATATTATCCTTTCTAAGGCTTTTTGACGAGGGGTGAAAGGCGCTTTTAAGGTATTTTTTCATCTTGTCAAAGTCCTTCGCATGGTTGATAGTGACAAACCTTCTATGGGCTACATATATGAAGCTATGGAGAAATGCAAAAGAGAGAGAGTTCAAAATTTCAATGATGAAGAAACCCGCTACAAGCCTGTTTGGGAGATTATTGATGAGAAGTGGGATAGGTAGCTACATTGGCTATTGCATGCAACTGGTTAGTTTTTTAACCCAGCTTTGTTTATTTTGACAAGGATATACAAACAAATGACACAATTATTAATGGATTTAATGAGTGTGTAGAGGGCTAGCCTTGATCTTGAAATACAAGATATTATATGCGCTGATGAGCTGAAAAATTACAAGTGCTCATTAAAGTCTTCTGGGACTCCAATGACGATGAGGTAAAGGACCAAAACTGGACCAGGTATTAATAATATTCTTAAATTCATCTTTATCAAATTCAAGTAATCAAGTAATTCTATTATTCATTTATGAATTTTTTCTATATCTTTGCAACCCATTGGTGGAGCCAACATGGGTGTAGTTCTCCAAATTTATAAAAAGTTAGCCATTCGGATCTTAAACCTAACCACTTCTTCATCCGGTTGTGAGCGCAATTGGAGTATTTTTGAAGGGGTAAGGCCGTAAGAGTAATTTGTATAATTTTATAAATAATACATGAACCATAGGTTTCATTTGATTTTGTTAAATTCGTACAAAGAAAAGGAACATGCTTGAACCAAAGAGGCTCAATGACCTAATCTATGTCAAGTATAATCGATTCTTGAATGACACGTTTGCTAAGGGAGATAACGGAGACCCCATCAGATCAAAAAATATGGACCATGCTATGGAGTGGTTAGTTGATGATGATGAGGTCGAGGGGTATGAAAGATTAACATGAGACATGGTCATAAATGCTTCAGGGACATCAGCTGACCCTCCTAGAGCCATTAGATCTTCTGCACAGAGAACAAGGATGGAGGAAGAGGAGGAAGAAGATACTGATTCAAAAGAGACGGAGGAGGACAGGGACGACCAATATGTCGAGGAGATTGACGACTCTGTCGACTCCGATGAATATGATGCCAATGCAGCTGACCCAAGATTTTCTGATGATGAATGACTGATGATTGATGAATGTTGAATAATTATTAAACTTTGAAGTTTGAACTTTGATTGAAGTATCGTGTATTGATTATTGAACTATTGAAGATTCTTTTGAGTCTTCAAGTATTACTTTCATAGTTTCATAATTTATTTTTGTTTTCTTCCTCATGGTGGTGTCCTAATGTGATACTATTTGATAACTTGGTTTGATAATTTGATTGGTTGAAAAATTTGAAGTTTTCATTGGATATGGAATATGAACCGACTTATGGATCATGGTTATGCTTATGGAGTGTGTGCTAAATGCTAAATAATATGTAGTATAATTTGAATTATGTATTGCAATACATATAACTGATACTGACATAACTGCAGAATGCCAAAATCCTTATTTGGATTAAACTGGGCGCCTACCTAGGCGCGGGTGGCCCCCCCCCAAGCAGCCCAGGACACGCCTAGCGCTTACATATCCCATGCTTCTAGTGCTTTGCAAGGACTTTTGTCTCCTTGATTCAAAACGAGATGCCTTGCAAAACCCATTCAGACTCACCTTAAGCATGGCCAATGTCACAAGCTCAAATGAGTTTTTGAACCTTGGTCAAGATTGAGGTTCAGATCGAGGAAATGCTAGAAAAAGAGGGGGTTGCTTCCAAACAGGGGTGTAGGGCCAAACCAAACCAACCAAACGCCCACTTTCATAGCCACCAGAAATCCCATTCTGGTCGAGGAGTCTGTCTGTACCTTGACCTTCTCCCACGTGGGAGAAGGTCAGAAGGCTTGCCTCCATGCCTAACTCATGGAAGAGATCCCTCGAGTCATGGGAAGAGACCTCTTGAGTCACACAACCTTCAGGTCAACAATAGAATTAAAGGAGGAATGTGATAGAAGAGGAGAACAATGTATATCAATGCAAGAGAGAGCTACGTGGTTATGATGAGTGTATTAGAGCAGTGGTTTTTTAATATCGAAAGTCTTGGGGTCCTATGGTGGGATCTGGTTTATGTGGACCATAGTGGTCGATCACCGTAATGGATGATGAATAATGAATGAGAAAGATAGATATCCAGGGGTGGGATTCTGAGACAAGCATTATGTTTCTTTGTGATTCAAAGCTAAATCATGGCCTCCCCCTCAACTGCATGCATTTAAAAAAAAAAGAAAAGAAAAAATCTTGTCAGGTCCACCTCCAACATGTGAATTACACGTAGTAAGCAGTTAAAAGAAAACATGTGAATTACACGAACTCGGCAATCTAATCAGTCCACAACCAAAATCATGAGACTTGGTCAAGTGCCCAAGTCTTACTAGTCCCCATTAGTTTATTGTTACTTTTCCATGACCCTGCCTAGTCTCTAATAGGTAGTTCAGTCATATTGAGTTGTGTGATTTAGGCTCAAGATTCGTGTAGCTGACCCGAATAGTTAGGATACGACTCAGATGATGATGATGATGACTGTTTAAATGGAAATCAGAGGCAAGCAAGGTAAGTCCTCTTTATAACCCTTCTTAGTAACCTTCTTGTCCGGTTTAATATTTCTTCTTTCACCAGTTGTTTCTATTGCATTCTTACACACACAACTACTCCTTGGCCTCTCTTCTCTGTGGTCGAGGCAATTCCTGTGACATAAGCCAGACTATTCATGGTTTCCTCTTCAACAACTACTCAACTGTCATCATATCAAGAATATCATTTACAAGGGGCTAGTAAGATTCTAATTTGCTCAATTTGTTCTACCACATGTTTATTAACATCAAGATTGGTAACAAAATTTGCTAGTCAAGTCCAATCTATTCATGTATCAGAAGGGACTGAACCTAAGACCATAGATTCGAAGTTCTGTGGTCTAACCTTGCCATCTTAAAGATGGGAATTTCTAGTTAAAACCATTCGATGATTCAGTGATAACCATCCGTAGCAGAAGTACAGGCAAAAAGTCTCATCTTGTTTTGCTCTGCGAAAACAGAAAAAGATTTATCTTTCCATCCTCTCTAATATTCAATAACCAGACCAAATTTAAGGGTTCCTTTTTCCTCCTCTTTAATATCAAACAACCAGACTTAATAAACTGGTTCCTATTTCCTCCTCTCTAAAATCCAACAACTAGACCTCATTCAGGTGCACTCTTTTACTCTTCTCTAAAATCCAACTAGACCTACTCCTCTTCTCCGGGTTCTTCTAGAATCATGAAAGTATATTACGCTTGATAGCCCCAATCCTGCAATGTCCTACCTACACCTTGCCTTTTCTAATCATTTCAACCAGTTTGACACTTTATCAATGAAGTGAAGCCTTCTCTAACAGATTCCCTTCTACTCTCCCACCTTCATTGCCCTCACAGAAGACTCTAATTACTTGCACCTGCAATTAGACCGTAAATTTCTCCACATCAACTTCCAATATCATAACTCCACAAGCTTCAGAAATGTCCCAACTATTACTTCTAACCCTAGACAAAAGAGTCATAAGCTATTGAAAAAGCAACCATTTAGTTCACTCTGTTTCCTTAAGCTCAACATCTCCCCAACAATATCTAGAAGCTGCTTTCTCCATATCTTTGTGGGTGCCAAATTGTAAGAGGAAATGGTCCTCTTCATGGATGATGTCAAATCAGAAGAGGAAATGATACTTTCCTCTATTGATTTGATTTCATAAATCTGATCTCATTAGAAACTCTAGATAGTTAGATTTTAACAAACCCAACCTTATAAGAAAGCTCGCCTTCACCTGTATGATCTTCTCCCACTTCCTTTTAATCATTTTTCCTCCTCATTTTATTTTCCATAATTTCATTTCGTTTTCAATCTCCTTCTCTATGTTCCATAATTATCCAACTTCTACATTTGTCCTCTCATCAATACCCCCTTGATTTCATAATTAAAGTCCAAAAATCAGCCCTTTCACGTTCTCAACGACTTACCAATTTGCTGCCTTCAAAACAATTTTCAATTGTCGATAAAGCCTCCTCTTTGAAAAATAAATTTGCTTGCAGCACCACCTTGGTTGAAGCCTGAATGGCCAATCTGCAGGAGAGGGAATAGTCCAACTGACAAGGCCATGTTAGATTACAGACAATAAAAACCCAAGGAAGCAATAAAAAGTATGATGTTGTCAACTTGTAAGGGTTGCTGGACAAGTTTATCCCAATACCTCCATACGAAGAAAAATGGAAACCAAGTAGTCCTCGGACCAAAGTAAGGATTTTGGAAGTGTGTTGGGAGGAAATAAATTGTTGGCATTCCCAATGCTACAACAAACTTGTGGTTGGATTGAGAGCGAGAAAACAATGAATTAGCCACTCCCTCTTTGTAGAACACTCCACCCAAAGGCCTATGTTCTCCTGCTATATGTTGCAGATGTTACATGATCATTACAAGCAACGACACTTAGATCAGAGCTTCAAGCATGACCATATTTAAAGAACGCAAGTACAGAACTTATTAGAGGACATTAAAGCACTCCACTTTCTCCAACAATTCAAGGGAGCTTCTTAATACAGACCTTCTCAACTCCTCAATATTCATAGAAATCTTCTAAATGGAACCTCGCATGTTTGAGAAGCTTTATGAAGTCTGGTGCACACTTTATCAAGGCCGGCAGCCAACACTGAAGCAAGTTGGATTAAGTTCTGATACGTTTCTAAAAGTGTTTATTTTTAAATCTTCATTCATGTGCACATGGTATAGCTTTTACATCTAAGGTTTCTAAATTATTGAAAAAAAGTTACAATAAATCATCCAGAGTAGCTGAATGCATTTATTCTATTCATGTACAGTATAAGACAAAATGAGTTATTTGTTCTATTCATGTACATTATAAGACCAAATGAATTCTTTGAGTCACCTTGACCACATTACAATAAATTTTACAACACAGTTTGCAAAAAGAAAAAGAAAGAGACCCACACCCAAGATAATTAAATCTCATTAAATAATATATCCATGAAGCATAATCATTCATTAATATTTTAGTGTGATACTGTATGAAAAGATAACTACATTTGGCAAAAAAGAATCCCATTAAACCAACAATTAGATTTCTTCTAGAATGCCAATTTAGAAAAAAGAAAAAAACCAATAGAAAGAGAAGGCTAATCCTAACGACTTCTCTTTTGTTGGTTAGTGAAGATTACTCCTAAAATGGATATTCAGATGTGGAAGGAGAGACCCCACAGGACACAGAGAATCTGACTTCATATTCTAGTTCAAAGTTTCAAACTTACATTTCTTCAGATACATCATCACTAGCAAGAAGATGGCCAAGAGCAACTCTAGCCTTTTTTGGTACAGACTCACTTCCTTTACCTTCTTCCCTTCCCCTCTTCTTCTCACTTCCTTCTGCATCCTCAATTACTTCTTCAATACTTGAACCAGCACCATTCTTACTTACATCCATATAAGAAGGAGAAGTATGCCCACCTTCTTTCTTGCTTTCTTTTATACTTGAATTGTCACCACTCTTTTCATCTGAAAGAACACTCCGAGCTTTGCCAACATCTTTTCCATCCTTTGATGGCTCTTCACAGCTCATAAGGAAAGTGCGAACCTCTTCACTCGGTGTAACGTCAATAGCGCTTTTTCCAGCTTTGATCTTGGCACCAATTTTGGCACCCTTTCTTACCAAATACTTCACAAGTTCCAAGTGACCTCGTTGGGAAGCATAGTGCAAAGCTGTGAAGCCCTTACGAGTAGAGGCATTAACAGAGACTCCAGAGAGTAGAAGGGTTCTTACAACTGCAAGGTGACCCTTTTGTGAAGCGAAATGGATTGCACCCATGTCATCATTGGCAGCTGCGCCCACATCAGCTTTGTGCTTGCAAAGAAAGTCCACCACCTCTAGCTGTCCAGCCCATGCAGCCAAATGTAGCCTCAATTCAAGATTGTTAAGGAAAGATGAATGGTGAAATTCACATCTTGCATTGGTATTAGTGAGGCTTTACTCCACATGCACTGTATAAATCCTTGTACATTGTGTGCACGTGTGTGCACACGTGAGTATGTACGTGTGTGTGTGTGTGTGTGTGTGTGTGTGAGAGAGAGAGAGAGAGAGAGAGAGAGATTATCCAAGATAGATATATCAAAGTATTTTCACATCAAGTTTGTCAAACTAGAGATAACCATTAAATTCTCTATCCTTAATGCAAAGAGATGGCAATTGATAGCTCTCCTACTCTGAATTTGTTCCTCCTTTTGGTACATTTATACGGTGTGTATGAGAGAGAGACAGTGATTAGCAGGTCTCTCTCTCACATAAACTTATTGACAAGAGAAATGTTTTTTTTTTTTTTTTTTGAGAGAGCGAGGCATATGTACACACACATACACAGAGCACTCAACCACTTCCCTGAAATAAACAGCAGAGTACTCAATCGCTTTCCAGAAATAAACAGCAGAGTTAAACTGAAATTTTATTCAATTGTTGCTTGACAATCAAGGAATCTAGGGAATAATGCTAATGAAGATAATGTCAGTATCAAACTCATAGACAAGCACTAACTGATTCAAATTTGAACTTTTTCCTAAACATTGATAGCACACTGGCTGCAGTTTAGTACTCACTGAATCAAATTTGAACTTCTTTTTTTTTGGGAAAGTAAATTTGAACTTCTTTCCTAAACATTGATAGCACACTGGCTATAGTTTAGTTGTTAAGTTCATAATAAGAAGAGAAGCAATCACAAAGTTGAAAAATGAAAAGAGATGAAGGAAAATGAATTCATGTGTCCTAATATTAATAACAGAATGAATACATATGCAGTTTTCGAACTACATTTACAAAAAAAAAAACAAGGAAGTGATACATTTTAAAATTGCGGCTATCACCAGACCCAACAATCTCCACCTTGATAGCAACATCACTATAATTGCCTCAGCAACCTTCATTGAATAGATTTCTTGAATTCTTCTCACGTGCCTCCATTGTGGAACTTTCACAAACATTTTACATCCATAGTTCTCCACCTCAAACAATGTATCCACCAAACTTCATCATTCATCATTCATCATTTTTTTTAATGCAAGCCTTAGCCCTCATTTTTTTTAATGCAAGCCTTAGCCCCTTATACATGTTGTGCTCTAATACCAATTGTAGGGTTCTCGCAAACCCGTCGTTTGAGGAACCGGGATCCCTCTAATATCAATTGTAGGGTTCTCGTGAACCCGTCGTTTGCGGAACCGGGATCCCGAAGTAGTATATACAACTATAAATTGAGTGCAAGAAGTAAAGCAAATATAAGAAAACACACCACCACAATACATGATTTACGTGGTTGACCACGTAGGGCTACATCAACGGCCTCGGCCTTGGCAAGTAGAAATCCACTATCACAATGAAGAGAGCAGTTTTAGGCTACAAGAGATAATACCTATCTCTAAAAACCGGTAAAAGACATCATGGATCTTCCCTTCTAAACTCACTTACCGAGTAACACCATCGCTCGATACCTTCTTTCTCACCGCAATACCACTTAATTTTTAGAAGAAAATATGGGTATAGTTATCACCAAACCCAGCAATTATAAGCACAAGCATTTTAAAAGTTCAAATAGAAAGAAGAACACTTTTCCAGTACATTAAATTAAACCCAAAATTCACGACAAAAAAAACCCAATACTACATGCTTCAAAAAAGTATAAAGAACAAATCCCTCAGTGTTAAAAAAAAAGTACAAAGAAAAAAATCCCTCAGTGTTCATGTCTGCACATGAATAGAAAAGGAGGAGAAAATTGATATCTAATCAGATTTTACGAGGCAAACTAAATATAATTATCAATCCTAATTAAACCCGAAGACCTAAAATACGAGAGAGAGAGAGAGAGAGA